GCTATACGATTTACATCCTATAGCTATACTATAAAGTAAACAGAGATTTTGACAAAATGTCAACATAACCTGAAGTTCATTTCGTTGCTTCCAGCTGTTTGCAGAAGTCTTTCCTCTGAGGTTGTTAAATACCTGTAGCGCCAAACAACAGCAGGATGTTATATGAGGGTTTCCAAAGCAAGAGTGCTGCTTGCATGTATTCGGATTACCAAAATTATTTTTATTTCCTAAATGCCAGAATAATGAGAGAGAGAATTTATTTATTACTTCCTTCAAAGTCAGAAGTTTACATACACTAAGATTGCTATGCCTTCAAACTATTTGGGAAAGCCCAGATAATGATGTCATGGCTTTGGAAGCTTTTGATAGGTTAATTGACAAAATTTGAGTTAATTGGAGCCACACCTGTGAATGTATTTTAAGGCACACCTCAAACATACTGCCTCCTTTTGTGACAACATGGAAAATCTAAAGAAATCTGCCACGATATCAGGAAGAGAATTGTGGACCTCCAAAAGCTGGTTCATCCTTGAGTACAATTTACAGATGCCTGAAGGTTGCACGTTCATCTGTTCAAACAATTGTACTCAAGTGTAAACACCATGTAAATGTCCAGCCATCATACTGCTCAGGAAGGAAACGGTTCTGTGTCCCAGAGATGAACATGTTTTGGTTGAAATGCGCATATCAACTGAAAGGCTATTCAGAGATTAAGAAGACATTATTCCAAAAGAAATATAAAAAGCAGATTACAGTTTGGAAATGCACACAGGGACAAAGACCTTCATTTCTGGAGACATGTCCTGTGGTCTGCAGGGGTGGATCCAGGATGCTTTCAGTGGGGGGGCAGAGGGGGGTACAACAGATATTTTTGGGGGGCCACGGAAAGTTGTAATAAATTAAAATATTATAATAATTAACTTTTTAAAAAATATATATCTATATGATTATTATTATTATTGTTGTTGTTGTTATTATTATTGTTAATAATAATAATTATAATAATAATTATAGTAATAAAAAATATTTTGTTGTGAATATGCAAGTGAACTCTAAGAACCAAATCCTAGGAGCAAACTCTGTGTCGGATGAACTGATTTGTAAAAGCAGGACCGAAGCGAACAAAAGCAAGAGCCAAGTGTATTCGGGTAAAATTGTTCAAGAACAAAAATCAAGTTATTAGGAGAAATTAGCTTATATGATCTCACGACAGTGATGTTCGTCTACAGCGTCTACTCACAAAAACAACAAAGTGAGAAGCTTAGTTCTGCCTACATTGGCCAAAAACAGCACTTTAAAGTTGATTCTGATGACAGAAACAGACCTTATAGTTGCATTAAGAAGGTAAATAATAAGTTTGATCTTGCTGTACATGTCTGCTGGTGCTGCTACCTCCTGATTCTTCTGACAAGTGATCATTGTCAGGATCCAACTCCTGGCAGTAGTCTACCACTGGTGCATCTTAGTATAGATTGAAACAGTTAAGAGTTAATAGCTCTTTAACCAACATTATACATATTAAAAGAATTGCAATTTGTTAAATGTCTTGCCATATTGTAAATGACATAATTAAAAACAGCACAGAAATCAATGCCATCAGTTTAGTCATAGAAACAATTAGTTTTCAGTCATTTAATTCACCCAATTATGACAGAATAACAAATAAATTCTGTTGTTTGGTAAAAATACACTTGCAACACTCTTTTCATATCTGCATTTTCACCTGGAGGGTGATGGTTGCTGCTCTGGCCCTGGATGCTTGCCTCAACAACACATGATGATGGTCCCTGGCTGCATTCAGACATCAACCGACGTTTGCAAATGTCCTCTCAATCCAGACTTAATGCAAGTACCCAATTAAAAAAGCACCTTACGTCTTCGATGCATTCAGTGGCAGTCGGGCAACGACGTTGCGTTCAATAGCGTCGTAATTCGGAATTTCTGTATTGGTAATATCAATTTCAAACAAATTTTTTTGGCGGGGCACATGGGGTGGCCAATCAGATCACAAGGGGGGCCAGTGCCCCCCCGTGCCCCCACGGTAGATCCGCCACTGGTGGTCTGATGAAACTAAAACTGAACTGTTTGGCCATAATGACCATCGTTACATTTGGAGGAAAAAGGTGGAAGCTTGCTAAATTCTCTAAAAAAATCTTTCTCTCATTATTCTGGCTTTTAACAGGCCTCAGGATGAAGGCAGTAAAAGCTTCTGAAGAGTTCCAAGTCCAGGATGTTGCTGGCAGAAACCCATGTCATTCTTAGCAACCACATCCTTAGCAACTAGCTTCCTGACCATGCTCACCAACACCCCCAACAGAGAGCAGAATGTCTGGGAGATGAATTAGGACCAGCAACATTGTTGCACCACAATCAGTGTACTCTTCATACCAGGGTGACTGGTGAGGGCGAGGAGATGGCCAAGTGAATGCCCTGGGAACGAAGGTTAGAGGGAACAAATAATAGGTTTGGAGGACATCCTTGAATCTGTTGGACAATGGACCCCACCTGTCTTTCTGATGTTTGGCCTCTGGCTGTGCGTAGATACTCCAGGTTCTTGTGATCAGTCCACACCAGGAATGGATGCGCCGCCCCCTACAGCCAGTGTCACCACTCCTCCAAGGCCACCTTAATTGCCAGCAATACTCTGTTACACTCGTAGTATTCTTCTGCTGAGGAGAGTTTGCAGGAGAGGAAGGATCTTGCCTACAGTGGACGGCACCTACTTCAGAGGCCTTCACCACAAATTGCCAACCAATTTTAGGTAACACCAGCACTGGAGAAGCTGTTAGGCTTTCTTTTGGCTTCTGTCAGGCTTTTATAGCTGAGGGGTCCACTGGAACCTGGTCCTGACAGGTGAGAACATGCAGAGGTGTGGCAATGCTACTGAAATTTCTGATAAATTTGCAGTATAAATTGGCAGAGCCAGAAACCTTTGCACTTGTTTGCGCCGGTTATAGGAGTGGGACACTCCCCGACTGCTCTCGCATTCTCCTCGTCCATCTCCACCTAGATACCACGTACATCAGGAAGGAGACGGTTGGAACGTGGAACTCACACTTTTCCACTTTCTCGTAAAGCTGGTGTTTCAGGAGGCGCTGGGGAACCTGGTGTACGTGCTGGTTGTGGGACTCAAGTCAGGAAAGAAGACGAGGATATCGTGCAGACATACAAAAAATTATATATTACAGTCCCTCCAGGAATTTGTGGGCTTTTTTTGAGATTGTTGCGGCCTAAAATGCCTGGATTTGCGGCAGCTTTTCTAAAAAATTGCGATCTAAGTTGCGATGTTTTAGACATATTTGTTGCGATTACATTTTAGGACACAGAGAAAATTTCTAAAAAGTTGCATTTTTTTTCTTTGTTTTGTATAATTCATTAAAAATCGAAGGCAACTTGTTGCAGCAGGAATTAAACTGCACTCTGGTCGAAGTGTTCCCAAAAAAGCTCAGGTTTACAAAATTCTAACAAAATATGTTTTATTTTTGAAAGGCCCCACAGAAGTACTCCTTCTTTCACAAAACTAAAGCTTTTTTGGAGCTCGAACTCAATATAGCCTTGAGCACAGAAGATTGATAAATTGCTAAACCAACAATGACAAACCTTGACATTGACCCATGACAAATTAAAAAAATAAAAACAACACAGTAGAATAATCTTAATGTATTGAGTTGGTTCAAAAGATGAAGTGCAAAGAACCTCACAGTAAGACTGAATAGCTTAATTGAACTCATGTTAATAAACATCCACAACAACGTAAAACCTGTTTTCCTCTGGTAACAGTTAGTGAATGCATTACTGACCTCAGATTCTGCAGGGTTAAAAGTTAAACTGCACAGAACCTTTCAGTAAACATTTAGCATCGCTAATGCAGTTCCTCTTCCTCTTGAATATCCTCCAGGTAGTCAAAACTCTTGGTGATCACAGGGCATCTGCTCTGGAAGTTGTCCATAAGTTGAATTATGATATTTCACTTGTCTGCTATGACGCTGATCTGGATCTGCAGATTTTGAGCAATATCTAGATTTTGCAGCATTTTATGGAGTCTCTCCACAGACTGCAGTGTGCTTCTGCCGCAGATCTATGAATAAAATCGCAAATTATAATACATGTTGTCAAGATGACAAGCTATCTCAAACAAAATAGAAAATTATTTTTCTTTAAATGTGAACATCTACCAGCCACTGATGGATAAAGGTTAAAATTTTTCAGCCACTCAACAGTGAATCATTCTAATGGGTCTGAAATCTGTCAGTCACTTCTATATTTTATAATATTTGGCTGGTGGTTGGTGTGAAATTCTTACCCTGATCAGAATTGGTGAAAAAAAATTCACCACAACACCTTTTATAAGATACCACATTCATTCTGGTGGTGGTAGATACGATTGTAGCCACAGCTGCCCTGGGGCAGACTGACAGAGGCGTGGCTGCCATTCTGCGCCTACGGCCCCTCCGACCACCACCTCAAACAATCCATTCATACGCATTCACACCAGGCAAGGTGGGTGAAGTGTCTAAGGACACAACGACCATGAAACAGGGATTCGAACCGCCGACCTTCCGATCATTGACCGACTCTACCACCTGAGCCACAGCCGCCCCAGCCACCTTGGTGACATCTCTCACACACTCATGCTCGCAATCTCTGATTGATTTCATAACACATCCAATTAAATAAATTGAATACAGCTTTTAGAACATGTTTCAACATTTTAATTGACAATATTTATTCCTAAACTAATTCTTTAACACTCTCAAACACATTTACACAGGCATGCACACCATGGTGGGAAACTAGCACCAGCCAAATACTGGCTTAACATGAAGTGATTGGTAGATTTAAGGCAAAAAATAATTAATTTAATATTGAATGACTCATATTTGGATATATTTGTCAGTGGATTAAAAAGTTAATTTCAGATCCTGGCACACACGTATTCACACACACGCGCTCAAAGCCTGTCACGTCAATTAATTAATCTAACTTACCTTTTTTCTTTTCTACCTTCTTTCAGTGCTCGCCACAGATGTGGATGCAACAGCTTCCGTCACGATGATTTGTCTGGTCTGTGGTCCGCTTGTTTCAGCCATTTTCCTAATATGTTTCGCGGTAGAAAAGTGTTTGTCAGTCAATGATTTTCGTTTGTGTTTCACCACAGTATTGCACGGGGTGCAAAACAGTTTACCTCCGCTTTCATAAAGAACATCAGGAAATTGTTTTGCACGGTCTTTCACAGTAGTTTTTCTTGGTAAATGAGAGATATTAGAATCAGAAATGTCTGCATCTTCAAACCATGAACAAGGAAGTGAATTCGGTGATGTACGTGCAGTACATTTGCGCGGAGGACTGCTATGATTGGTGGAACTCACAGGAGGCTGGCCAAAATTGCAGAAAAGTTGCGGTGATTGGACAAAATTGCACGGTCATGCAGAATTTACGGAGATTGGTTGAATTTGCGTTAATTGTTGCGATCACAACATCGCAAATTCATGGAGGGACTGATACTAGGCATGTCCCTCAAAACGTCATTAGCCAGGGCCTGAAACACAGCAGGAGTATTGGTGAGTCCAAAGGGCATGACTAAGTACTCACAGTGTCCACTGGGGGTGTTAAACACTGTCTTCCATTCATCTTCTTCCCTAATTCTGACAAGGTGGTAGGCATTTCGGTTTAACTAGGTGGAAACCTAGTTAAACACACGTACCCTCTAGGCAGGGAGGTTTCCAGGGTAGTTACTGGGGTAATGTGCTGGGTCATTCATCAGAAGGGCTTGCCAACAAGGGCTGTGGCTTTTTGGGGAACAGAGTCCAGATGAAGCACTCTGGTGAGGTCTAAGAGCAGGCGCTGGCCATGACAACTTCACTTTCAGAGTGCAGGTTTACTTGCGGTTCCTTGAGTTTTCAAAAGTAAGAATCTTTCTGTACACCACTCAAAAGTGAGGTGGAGATTTATTTATTTTTTGTCATGAAAGTATTCCTTGGGCTGTAAGGAACTTTTAAAAATTATTCATAGATAAAAGCAAATGTTGTGTAAAGTACCTTTTAGGCTTGTAGCTGTTAGAAAATGTTTTTAAAATGACTATTTACATCACTAAAAAGTTTTTTTTTTTTAAAGTTCTGTAAAGAACTGTTTCAAGTTTGTGTTGAAGAACATTTTAGTTTTTGGCAGGAAACAACACTCAAGTTTCTGCTCTCGTTCTCTGTAGAAACCTGGGGCCTCATTTATCATCAGTGTGTAGAAAAGGTTCTAAATTCTGTCGTACGAATGATATTTAGAGTGTGCGTAAGTAAAAAATCCGTATTTTTTTATCAAACGTGCGTACGGGGGTCATACGCACATCAGTGTTGATAAATCCCACTTATTCTTAACCTCCGTGCTCGTACACGTTGCCTTCAGGAACGCCTCCAAATCACCATATAGGGCAATACACGCCTCTTTCTAAAGCAGGTGAAGATTTATTTTTTCCTCACCTGTCGTCATCATCGTGGCCAAAAGGGCGATAAAGAGGAACTTTTATGAAACTGAGATTGAGGTACTTGTCAGTGAGGTTGAAGCAAACCAGAAAATTTAGTTTGGTGTGTGAAATGTTGGGATAAGCAGCGAAAGAAAAAATATTGCAGACAAGATATCCACCGCAGTTATTTCTGTTGGTCAGAGGAGAGATCGCCGGCAAAAATTTTAAAAAGTGGTTTGACGTTTAGCTCAGTGCCAAAAAACGCATCACAGTCCATAAAAGAGAAATGACTGCAACTGGAGGAGGATGAATTAATACTGAACCTTCACCCAGTGGATAACCCTGGTCACTACAGATGACATGTTTTAATAACCAAACAAAGTCCAGCTAAAACATTTCCACACTCTGTGACACTCACCAATAAGCCAGCCGTCTTCATCAGCTCCTGCTTGGAGACCCACAGAGCTGTTCTGCTCAATGAATGAGTTGTGCGTTCCTCCAAGCCGCCGGGCAACAACGTTGGATAGCCACAAATGCGCATCGCAAATTATCAGTACGTTGATTGAATGAAACTCTTTTCTATTTACAAAATTAAGCTCGTTTAGTGATGCTGCTTTGATTGTGATGTGGGTGCTGTCTATGTCTCCACATATGTTTGGGAATCCAGCGACGGCGTTAAGTCCCCGTTTGATTTGGGCTCATCGGTGATGACTGTAAGGGAACTGGATATAGGCTGGGGCCAGGAGAGTTATGGCATCCAACACTGCCGGCTTGATCCTGCTCAGTGGTGGCTGGAAATGCCGCATATGTCTCCAACCTCACGCCGGAATGTGCCGGTGGTCAAAATCCCCGAATACTTTCTACTTGTAGTTCCACTGTTCTACCGCTAGATTATGTGTGTACGCATGGTCAGAGGTGTGCTTATTTACACACAGTCCTAAGTACAAGCACAAGTTGATCAATTCCATACTTTGTGTAAGAATGTTTGTACGCACGCTCTGCGCACATATCTGTGCGCACTGATGATAAATGAGGCCCCTGGTTCTGTTGCTCTCAGCACTGATGTAAAGCTTATGTCACAGAGCTCAGAGCTACACATTTACAGTCTGCAGGCTTGTATACCATTCAGGAGGACGACGGGAAATGATAACAGCCTCCTTCTCCTGCTGTGCAGACTGGACATTTAAAGTGTGGCCATCCAGAATCACTAATAACTCAGAGACACAAATCCTGCTGATTTCCAAGAGAGAAGAAATGAGGCAGAGCAAGGGAGCTCTGTGCATGTGTGTGCACACAGCTTTAAATCTGTTTACACAGTCACAGTCAGCGCTGGGTGATGCAGTATCCAGCTGAGGAGTGCTCCCCTGCACAATGTCACTTAAACGTCAAATAATATCATTGTATCATCTTATAGTAATTGCATTATTTCGGAGTTAAACAGTAGGGTGTTTGCTCTTATGTAAAAGAAAAACTAATAGTTTAGATTTAAAAGCACAGGATAGGAGCTCAAGGCAACAAAAGTCAGTCCACCTTCAATTACTGAGAAAAAATGTCAATTTTTTTCAGTACTTCATATGTCCACTGTGATTTTCGATTACAGACTTGATCCTTTACAGGAGAGATGTTCAGTCATTTTTCAGATACTGTGGTTTTTCAGCAGTGTTTTAAGCTGAAGCGGTTGTGTTTCTCTACCTTTCTCTTAAAATACCCCAAAGGTGTTCTGTAGGATTCAAGTCAGATGACATACTTGGCCAGGTCATAGTTTTTATTATATTCTTCTTTTTCTTCTTTAAAAAATCTTAAGTGATTCTGGCAGTGTGCTTTGAATGATGGAATAAAACAAGCCTCTGTAAACTGGGGGTCATTATGGAACTTTGACTGTCAAACACAATTCAATATTGGCAGCAGCAGCAGCAACAGCAAAGTAAGACCAGCGGAAGGCCGTCTTCTAACTACAGTGGCACGACAACTGTCCATTTTAGCAAAGTTTGGTGTCAAACAGACATTAAACAGTTACATACTGCATTGGCCTGAGTAGAAGGAAAACATTTCCCTGAGATTACATTGGTCCAAAGAGAAGCTGATACTCTTCACTGAAGCATTTGCTATGATAGAAGAAGTGAAACATGAGATACAGTCATATGTCAAACCCAAATTAGTGTATCTGGTCTATCAGTGACAGACTCCCTCTCTCCTGTCAGACTCTGGAAGCTCGGAATATTTTCTTTAACAGTTAATATTTTTAACACTGTCTTTTTGGGCTCATCGTCTGTGTGACAGCTGTAATTCCCTCTGCTTCATTTCAGCAGTAAAGATGTCAAGAGACTCCATGATCTAGTTTTCAGTCATCATGAGTTTATGTCCTGCGTGGCAGCAAAATGCATTATTGGAGCCTTTAGAAAATCCTCCTGGTTAAAGCTAAATAACCAAACACATTTAGTGCTTCATGAAAATCTTCACAGTCCATGTATACATGGACTGAAAACACTCACTAGCCTAACAACATTAAGGCTACAACCATCTCATAGACTAACACTATCTGTGGAAGACCTTGTTAGTTACGCTGCTGCTCTCTCCATTCAAAAACTATATCTGTCCTAGTCTTTTTCAAACACTTATACATAAAACTTCATAGTCTGCTCAGGTCTATGGAGTTAATGCTGCATGATGCGCACCAGCAGTGTTTCACTTTGTTTAAAGTGATAGTTTTTAATAAAACAAATGATCTACACTGTTGCCTTGCAGGTGCTGCTGTTTTATTCTTGTTGCTCAGCTGCTTCTGCGCATTTCTTTACAATGGGGGCAGTCCAATACCTGTACTGTGTTATATAGCATGTCAGAAAAAAAATGTAGCATGTCTTGTTACATAGTATGTGAAACGCAGTATGCAAAAATACCAGGATGTCCTGCTACATCTCGTCAGATTTTGCAGTTTGCAAACCATCATGCTGTTCTGGCTGAATCACAATCCTCTGTGCAGTTACTTCACATATGCAACAGTGTTAAGGTATATAGGTATAAGGTATAAACAAGCTTGAGATGTTGAGAGCAGTCAGACAGGTAACGGCTTATTTCACGCCACAGACTGTGACAGATATGCAATATAATAATAATAATATTATGCACAGTTACTGTGTAAATCAGTTATGAAAAGAAAGCTATGTATTGATCATGTTTTGTTAAAGTTAGTATCATGACCATTTGCTTTGCTTAAAAAGACACTGATGGGCTTCTGTTTAGGAACTGTACTGACGCGTGCTTTCAAACAGAATCCACATTTTGTCCCGGACCAAAGTTCAGATTTATTATGCAAATTAATTCAGCTCACCACCTGCTGAAGTTCGACAGTGTCCACTTTGTCCAGGGGAATGAAACAGGACAAAATTCCACAAAGGCATGTCACAATACAGTCGAGAAAAATAAGAGCTGACAAGCCAGCAACACCTAAAGCTGATCAAAGTAGACTTCTTTACGGACAGATTTCACTGATCTAAAGAGGTACGAGCTGCTCGGTGGTCAGAGGTTTAAGTTTAAGTTATTGTATGTCTTCAGGAAAATCATGTAAGCCAATGTAATGCCCCTTAAAGGAATGGATATGCAAGTGTGTACATGTTAGTGTGCTGGTACACTTTATGAGGACCGATGTGAGCTGTAGACCTTGAGATGGAAGATGTTTGTGGAAAGTAAGGTCTGTCCTCACAACTTCACAGGACTTTTAAAGGATTCAGTCATAATTTCAGGTAAAAATAAAGTTCAGGCACAGAAGTTAGATAATGTCAATGAGCTCACCAAGATAGACATCCAGGTGTGTGTGTGTGTGTGTGTGTGTGTGTGTGTTGTCAGCTGAACCCTGATCCTCCTCATGTGGCTCGTCATCTCAACAGCTTCATTCCTGCCATCTGTGTGAATCCTTCATTCACATCATGTTGCTGGGATTACAGCAGCCAATCAGCTTTAACGCTAAAGACCAGAAGCAGCAGGGGACCAAGAAGAAGTGATTGAAAGGTCAGAGAGAGACTGAACGGGAGGTAGTTATGGGTCTAGGAAGAAATACATGTTTTTATTAGAAAATGTGTTCAGAGATGACCAAAATTCCAAGTACCCTCCTAAAGATTGCATTTACAATCACAGACAACAACTAGGACCAGCACATCTTCTATTTCGGATGTCAGACTTTACAAATATTTGTCATCTTTTGCTATTTCTGTTTGAAAAATGACAGAAAGCAATAACTGCACATCAAAATAGTGCGCTAATCAGAACCTATTAGTAAAATATCTACTGATGACACATTTTCTGTTTT